AAGCAAGACTTTGCAGTGGCTGCTACCTGGGCCACCATCGTTAAGGAGGCATCCAGGAGCACTCTCAAGCTCCTAGCCTCTGGCACTGGCACCAATGACATCCCATCGAAGGTCAGGAGAGGGATCCCTAACCTTGGTCCGCTCTGACTCAGGCACAGGACCTCCGTCTTCGTCAGATTCAATTTCAGTCAACTCAGTCTAAGCCAACCAGCCACAGCTTTCAACGCCAGGTCCAGATCTAGCGGACTAGAGTCTGACTGGCCATCCAACAACAGATAGAGCTGGGTGTCATCTGCATATTGGTGACAGCCCAGTCCATACCTCCAGACAATCTGGGCAAGGGGGCGCATATAGATGTTGAACAGCAAATAGGGTGTTGCTCAAAAAGACCAACACAACAACTTTTAACTTTAGAAAGGGGTAACGTCTTTCAAATGAGGGGGCTTGTGAAGAAGAAACTGAAGGGAAAGGTAAGGTGGGTCAAATCCCTTACAGAAGAGGTCCTACAACTGATAGACAACTTAAAATCTGATAAATCACCAGCTCCGGATGGCATACATCCGAGAGATCTGAAAGAACTCAAATGTGAACTTGTGAATCTCCCAACAAAAATATGTAATCTTTCATTAAAATCTGCCTCCATTCCTGAGGACTGGAAGGTAGCTAATGTCACTCCCATCTTTAAAAAGGGTTCCAGAGAAGATCTGGAGAATTACAGGCCAGTCAGTCTGACATCGATACCAGGTAAGTTGGTGGAAACTGTTATTAAGGAAAGAATTAGTAGGCACATTGATGAGCAAAAACTATTGAGGAAGAGTCAACATGGGTTCTATAAGGGAAGATCTTATCTCACTAACCTGTTAAGAGTTCTTTGAGGGGAGTGAACAAACATGTGGACAAGAGTAACACAACAGATATTGTTTACTTAGACTTCCAGAAAGCTTTTGATAAAGTCCCTCATCAAAAACTCCTAAGTAAACTCAGCAGTCATGGGATAAGAGGACAAGTCCTCTTGTGGATTAAAAACTGGTTAATTAACAAGAGACAGAGTGAGTATAAACGGGCAATTTTCACAGTGGAGGGTGGTAAGCAGTGGGGTACCGCAGGGCTTAGTGCTGGGTCCGATGCTGTTTAACTTGTTCATTAACGATTTGAAGTTGGGAGTAAGCAGTGAAGTGGTGAGAACCAAGGAGGCTTGTGAGGTACTCCAGAGCGATCTGTCAACGCTGGGCAAGTGGGCATCAACGTGGCAAATGAGGTTCAACATTGGTAAGTGCAAAGTAATGCACACTGGAGTAAAAAATCCTAACTATAAATACACACTGATGGGATCCAAACTGGCGGAGACTGACCAAAAGAGATATCTTGGGAGTCGTGGTAGATAACTCACTGAAAATGTCAACTCAGTGTGCGACAACAATAAAAAAGGCAAATACTATGCTGGGGAATTATTAGGAAGGGAACTGAAAACAAATCTGTCAGTATCCTAGTACCCCTGTATAACTGATGGTGAGGACTCATTTGGAATACTGTGTACAGTTCTGGTCACCGCACCTCAAAAAAGATATAGTATTGGGAAAAGTGAAGAAAAAGGCAACTAAAATCATTAAGGAGATGAAACACTTTAAAGAGGTTACCTTGGAGAAACAATGACTGAGGGGTGACATGATAGCAGTTTATAAAATTATTCATGGGAGAAGGTAAAGAAGTATTTTTCTCACAATACAAGAACTCATGGGCACTCAATTTAAATTAATTAGCAGTAGATTTAGAACAGATAAAAGGAAATACTTCTTCACCCAAAGAGTAATTAACATGTGGAATTCCCTGCCACAGAAAGTGGTGGCAGCTACAAGCATAGACAGCTTCAAGAGGGGATTAGATGCACATATGGAGCAGAGGTTCACCAGTGGCTATTAGCCACAAGGTTCAGATGGAACACTATGTCTGGGGCAGTGACGCTCTGTATTCTTGGTACTTGGGGGGCAACAATGAGAGAGCTTCTGGAGTTGTGGCCCTGCTGGCAGACCTCCTGATGGCACCTGGTTTTAGCCACTGTGTGACACAAAGTGTTGGACTGAATGGGCCACTAGTCTGATCCAACATGGCTTCTTTTATGTTCTCATGTTCTTAAACAGTGCTTCAGATGACAATCATCACTGGCAAATGGGTTGATATGAAGGGACCCCAGTCCCAGGCTTAGAGCTTCAAAAGGTACAAACCAGTAAGGTAAGAACTACCACTTTGAATTGTGTCCAGAAACAAACTGACAGCCAGTGTAGTTATTTAAAACTGGCAACCTATGTCATCTGTAGTATGACACTCCATAATCTTGTTGCCACATTCTATACTAACTGAAGTTGCCAAACTCCTTGATTATTGCAATGCGCTCTAACTTGGATGTCAGAGCTTCTCAAGAAGCCACAGCTAGTGCAGCCAACTGAAGTTGCTAAAAGGTGCTATGTGCCATAGAGTAGACCTAATTCTCCATCCATAGGCATGGCTCTAACACGACTACCCCCCATGCTCTATAACTCCATTCAGAACAGGATAACTCCTTGAACCCAATTAACTACATTATCAATTAACAGTATCATATAATTGTGCAGGAGTTCCATTGGAGTCTTTCATTAAAGTGCTCAGATCTGATGCTTAAGATTCAAGTATCCAAATCAGTTCCTAAGAGTCAATAGCTCTGAAACGGGGAAAATGTATGTGTACAAAATTATTTTAAATAAAAATAGATCATTTTGTGTTTTTATAAACAAGACATTTTGTACAAAATAAAAATCTTATGAAGTGAAACTCATCTATAAAGACAGTATGGTTTAACTGTTAAGCAAGTCAGAACAGGATCTGGGAGACCCAGGTTCAAATCTCCACTCTACCACGGACACTTGCTATGTGACCTTGGGCCAGTAACACTCTCAAAGTAACTTATGTCACATAGATGTTAGATTCAGGTGGGTAGCCATGTTGGTCTGAAGCAGCAAAACAAAGGTCACCTCCATGCTTGAGAGGAGATGGATGGAGCGTAATGACAGGGTCTCAGCTAATTACTCTCAGTATCCCACATTTAAGAAGAGCACATCAGCCCATCAACCTCCAATTTTAGTATATTTATTTCCTTCACTATGTTTCCCCCCTGGAATTTTTTTTGTTCAGTCGCACAGTCGAGTCTGACTCTTCGCGACCCCATGGACCAGATCACCCTGGAATTAAACCCAAACAAATGGTAACCATATAAACTAAGCTTGCTATTTCTGTTTGGTCCTTGAATCTGCTAAAGATCTTCATTACGTTGTATGCTAATTTGCTGCTCACCCTCTGTCTATATGTATGGACCAGTAACTTCCATTTCAATGTATCTGAAGAAGTATATGTGCACATGAAAGCTTCCATAGTTTGGGTCCATAGTTGTTGTTTTTTTAATTTAAAAGCTTTATTTCCTCTCCTAAAAAGGAGAGATATTTCGCTTAGTTTGAAAGGGGGAGGGTATATAGTGGGATCAAGAGAAAGATGAGTGATGTTTTAACTGGTAAAGCTAATCTGTTAATAAAGTTAAAATTTTCTTCTTTGGCTTCTTCTGTGTGTTGTCAAACTTCTTTTTTCAAACCGGTTAAATGCAGAGTCTATGTTAGTATATTAGTAGTGTCCCAATGGTACTCCGCTAGCAAAGTCTTTTCCAACGATTTTTAAAACGATCACCCACGGGCTGACTTCTTTTAATCTCCAAATTCAGGCAGGAACTTCCTCTATTTACTCCTCTCCGGTGTAGTGTGTAGATTTGTTTGTTGTAGGTTAAAAAAAAATTATTAAAAGTGTACCTATGGGTACTTAAAAAAAGAAAGAAAGAAAGCTTCTACCTTGAATAAAACTTTGTTGCTCTTAAAGGTGCCACTGGACTCAAACTTTGTTCTACAGTGATGTTGTGAGGTTAAAATGGTAGACAGGAGAACATTGTAAGCTGCTTTGGGTCCCCATTGGAACTTTTATGTAAACAATGTAAATAAATATATTTCTAGGAAAGAAATTAATTATATTAAAAGATTTACCTGTGAGGTTCGAGTCTTGGCAAGTGGAGACATACAAGCTTCTTGAAATTTCTCTTCATTAATTCCAACCTCCTTAAGGTAAGTGTCTAACAACTTTTCAACCTACAGTGATAAACAGCACAGCATATGGATAATCAAACAAACAATTACTATTTTTGAAGTAAGCCTATGTAAGCAGCAATAAATTTATTTATTTATTTATTTGCATTTTTACCCCGCCCTTCCCACGAACGGGCTCAGGGCGGCTAAAAAATAAAAATAGTAGCTCAGCCAAAAACTATAAACAAAGTATGTGGCTGTCAGGTACAAATACAGAACAAGTTAACAACAATTAATACATATAAATAATTGTAAGATAACAAACAATATTGTAGACATGTTTCACACCATCAAAATTTTTAAAGATTCCCCTCCTCAAGCATGACATATCAAGTATAGAAATTTCACATATTTTTTCAGTGGGAGAGAACTCTAGGGCCGTGACAATTCAGTTTAATAGAATGTTTAAAATGTAAACTGACTGTTTATGGTTGTTTTATGTATGATTTTAACTGTATTTATATATGCATTTTTATGTAAGCCGCCCTGAGCCTGCCTTGGCAGGGAGGGCAGGGTATAAATCAAACTAATAAATAAATATTAGCAAGAATTACTGACCTTGCAGTTACAGATAAAGTGCACCAATAAATGTTCAAGCTTCAATATTCAAGCTTCAATTGAGCAGCTGACTGCTCAATTTTCTGACTGCTCAATTGAAGCTGAATATTTATCGGTGCACTTTATCTGGAATTGTAAGGTCACTAATTCTTGCTAACACATTCTAAACATTTTATTTGTGGGTTTGATGGTTAGCAGTATATTTTGTCTATAGATAAGAATTATTCTGATGAAGATCTACTAGAAACAGGAACAGAGCTGGCAACCCATCCGTATCAGAGAGGAGTTATGAGCTCATCTTATCTGAGAGTTATGAACTGGATTTATTACTGCCTTACGCATCTGGTTTGAATATGGAGTTGTGAACTGAACTGTCATGGCCTTATGGTTCTCTCCCACTGAAAAAATATGTGAAATTGCTATACTTGATATGTCATGCTTGAGGAGGGGAACCTTTAAAAAAAATTGATGGTGTGAAACACATGTACAATATTGTTTATCTTACAATTATTTATATGTATTAATAAATTGTTACTAGTGCTGTATTTGTACCTGACAGCCACATACTTAGTACTTTGTTTATACTTAAGCCCAAGTAAGCCAACCTAGACATTATAACAGTCATGTGGTTGCTGAAGACAAGTTCACATCTCTTTCTTCCCCAGTCCCAGTAAATGTCCATTGGTACAAAATACATGACTGCACTGCATGTTGCTGAGCGCACTCCATTATTACTTGCAGGGTTTGGAAAACTTGGAGCACAGTGGCATCACATCAACCATTTTGTAGTGCTTGACATTACTGAGGTTAAAAAAACACAGGAATTTGAGGGTTGCCGCTTTTGATGCCAGTCATGCAACTGCTTTAACATACAGTGCTGACTCTCAACACTCAGCACAAAGTAACACAATACTGATTCTCTGACATAGCACAAATGTAATAAGTCAAGCACATTGGTGCTCAAGAAAAATGTCAGAATTTCCATTGTTCTTTACAAAAACCTGAACCAGCAATAAATCATCTATAGTGGTTCACTAGTTGTATTATTTTCTATAAAATGTTTGGTAAAAGTGGATATTACTCACCAAAGCTTTATACTCCTGATGAATCTCAGTGTAAGACAACTTGCTTTCTTCTTCATCATCAAAAACTGTAAAACAAACTTTCTTTAATATGGAGACAGTTCAAAAATCCTCAGAGAACAATCCTGAAGAAGTATATTCAAAAAGGCTTACACCCAGAAAAGTATTCCTAGAATTGCACTGCCATTTCTAAAATATTCTGAATCTATAAAGATCTGGAAATTATATTCCTAATATGATAAATTTATCTAAACTGCAAAATGTAATGACCTACGAAATTGCATGGGCTATAGAACAGGCATTTCCTAAACTGCAAATAATTCAACTTCCCTTACAACTTTATCACATCTTCAACACCCTCTCAACCTGGAAACTTAATCTGATATACCTCCTTTGGTTACAGCAGTGGCTAAGTGAATGAACTGTGATCCGAGAAGTTCTTGGTTCAGACCTTGCCTCTGCAATGAATACATCATGGGACCAATGTTCCCTCTAAACTGTGGAGTCTGATGAGCAAAAATTCTACTTTGTGAGCTACTGGCATTAAAGTTGTGAGTGAGCAATTTGGCTGCTGCATAAATTAGTTTGCTCTGGAGCCATCCTTCCTGAACTAAGACAAAAATGTGTGAGCTGGAGGCTAAAAAGCTGTGAGCTAGCTCACACTAACTTAGCTTAGAGGGAACACTGCACGGGACCTTTAGTAAGCCACTCCTGTCTGCCTGTCATCTGCCATATGGGGATTACAATACTAAACTATATTACAAAGGTTAGTCTTACAAGAAAATGTATGTGAGGTATTTTAACTGAAGTGTTATATAAATACTAAGTATTATTTTCCCCTATCTGCCCAATACTCCCCACTGCTTCACTTACCCCACAGTTCACCCTCCCCCCGTCTCTACATGCCATCTATCTGCAGTGCGATCTCTAGACTCAAGGAGCTGGATCCTTAACAGTAAAATTCACAGCTCAGACTTCCATGATCACAATAGGGTCATAATCCACACTTTATCCCATGCCTGTTTATGGATCTTTCATTAATGCCACAGAAAATTATCTGCATATGTGTAGACTCAAACATATGCAGGTACTGCCGATATTCTCACTTATACCATTAATTTTAATGAAAATGTGAAGAGACTTCCTAAAAAAAACCCAGACTCTATCAAGCAACAGTGGTCCTAGGCCAATATCACATTGTAACATTTTTTTAAAAAAGAACTGTTGTAAAATACTGTCCTTATAAACATCACATACAGCAACCCATACAAATCTGAGAAGTACTTGATGAAGATCTAATTAAACAGCTCAGTTGCTCCAGTTAATCAAAACATTCAGAAACCAAAGTAGTTTAGTCTGGAGGGCAAATATCACTTTAAATTCAGACTGCCTGTGGGAAGAACATTATTCCAGTGGAAGTATTCAAAAATAAACTGAAAAAGCAGTTAAGAAACCTAACAAAAATGTAAACAGTACTTGCTATTCTCCACTGATCTTGCTTGAGGTGTCTACTAAAAAGTCATGAAGTTACAGAGTTCCCCATTTTCATGAGAAGGATGGGCCAGCAACAGGAAAAAGATGACTTGTTAACTATTTTTAAAACCACTTCAACTCCAAGGCTTTGGCTGCTGTACTTAAAGCAATGTGTTGTAAATCCAATTCATTTCTGTAGTGAATGTTCTGATGCAGGATGTGCTCAAGTCCAGTGTTCCTTCTAAGCTGACTTAGTGTGAGTTAGCTCACAGTTTTTTAGCCTCCGGCTCACACATTTTTGTCGTAGCTCAGGAAGGATGGCTCCAGAGCAAACTAATTTATACAGTAGCCAAATTGCTCACTCACAAATTTAATGCCAGTAGCTCACAAACTAGAATTTTTGCTCACAAGACTCCACATCTTAGAGGGAGCATTGCTCAAGTAATGCGGTAGAAATTAGATTCCTATACATCAGAAATTACTTTGCACTGGAACAGGTGGTCACAGAGCCAACCAGAGGGGTAGTGATCTTGGATTTGGTTCTAAGCGGGTCTCAAGACCTGATGAGATATAGAGGTTGTTGCACTAATAGGGAATAGTGATCGCAATGTTATTACGTTCAGCATTCAGGTCAATGGAAAGTTACCTATAGTCCAGAACAGTCACATTTGATTTTAAAAGAGGGAACTTTACAAAAATGAGGAGAATAATAAAAAGAAAGCTGAAGGGAAAACACAAGAGAGTCAAATCCATAAAGGATCCTTGGAAGCTATTTAAAACCACACGAATTGAAGCCCAAATAGAATGCATTAGAAGCTAAGGAAGCTATAAAAAGTAATGAGGTTTCTTTAAAATAGTGGAAGGTCTGCCCAATGAATTGAACAGGTGGGACCGCAGGCTCTGGCAAAAAAAAAATGTAAGTCAATAATTAGGCATGCAAAAAGAGATTTTAAGGAGTGGGTTGCTAAAAGCATCAAGACAAACAATAAACATTTTAAAAAATATATCCAGAGCAGAAAACCAGCCAGAGAAGCAGCAGGGCCTTTGGATAACAAAGGAATAAAGGAATTGCTAAAGGAAGATGGGAGATGGCAGAGAAGCTCAATGCCATTTTTTCTTCTGCATTCACTGTGGAAGGTATGGGGCCCGAACCCATGCCATAGCCCCCGTTTTCAGGAAAGGAGTCTGAAGAACTGTGCCAAATTGAGGTGACCACAAGTTCTGGACCTTCTGGGGAACTTAAAAACTGATAAGTCTCTAGGTCCTGATGGCATACACTCAAGAGTTCTTAAAGAACTCAGATGTAAGATTGTTGATCTACTAACCTATATATGTAACCTATCTATCTAAGTCCTGCTCATATGGCTATCACCTTAAGCAGAAATTAGAACCAAATATTTTAAAAGACCTTAGTATGATTTCTCTTGTATTTGATTATTGTGCCTATGAATTTGCCACTGAGAGGGTGACACGATCATTGGTATCCAATAGTAGCCATGACACCTGGGCTCTCACATTTAGCAGTTCCATATCTTTAAGGGGTGACTAAATTAGCTCTCAACTCCATAATCATATGTGCAATGGTTTCGATTGTATGATATGAGCATCTGCATGTTCTATTAGAGTATGATACTTTATTATATCTGCCCTCCAAAACTGTTGAGGGAAGAACATTCAGTCTTGCCAAAGTAAAAGCTCTTCTTAGTTTTGGGACTGTCAATTGATAAAAATATTTTGACAGTCGCATCGGGAGGGCAACTGCCAAATGAAGTGTCGAATATACCCTGCGCACCCTAATAGACGTACTTGTAACATCCAATTTACTTACAAATTCTTTAATTTGTCTTCTAATGTCTTTAGTTGCTGTATTTTTAATCATATCATTTGTTATTCCTAGGCATTTCATTTTCTTTTCCAATAGTTGATCCCATTGGCTGTAATGTGTATCTGTCTGGATAACCCAAGTAGAATAGATCCTCCCTCAGATTTTAAAACCTTCACTTAAAAAAAATGCTTTAATCCAAGCCCTATCACTAAATTCAGTCACTATACCAGAAGATCGTGGCAGCAAATGTGACAACAAGGGATACAGACAGGGCCGGACCCATTTTTTTGCGCTCTAGGCGAGGCTAAGTTGTGGTGCCCCCGCAGGCGAGGCTGCCTTGTGGCACCCCCCCCTCACCGGAGTCGCAGATCCTCTGAGGGGCCAGTCCCTAAGGTGGCTGGAGGGCAGGGCACGGAGCCTGGGGGACTCAGAGTGGGAACAGCTGCCTCCTCAGAGAGCCGTGCTCTGGAAGCAGCCCCGCCCCCGAGCCTGCCTGCCCGGCTCTCCCCATGCAGGAGACCGGGCAATGGGGGAAGGCGGCTTCCTGGCTGGGGGCAGCTGTACGCTTTCCTCGCCTGAGTCCCCATCTCCGCTCAACCCAGCCTGGAGCCAGGGCAGGACTGCCAGCGTTCCTCTGGGTGGGCAGGTGAGTGGGACGTGGCCCACGGGAGGGGCCTGTTTCGGATTGCCAGGCATTGGAGGGAGAGACCCTCGTGTGGAACATCCTCACCCACCGCCCCTCCGGTGAGGCCGGCCAGAGGCTGCTTTGCCTGTTGCTCCGCCGAGTCTGAAGCCAGCCAGAGCAAGCCTCCTCCCCCCGGTGTCTTCTTGGCTTCACCTTTTCCACCCCGACGCTCCTGCTTACCGCCAGCCGCTCCCTCCCTCCCGGTGGTCTGCCGTGCCGCCGGACACTGAGCGGAGCCCGCAGCTTCTCCATCACAGTGGCACCCCCTTTTGGGGGAGCGCTCGGATCACAAGCCGTCGCCCTAGGCGAGAGTCTAAAATTTGACTATGACAGGCCAGCCATGGATACAGAGAAAACCAGGAAATTACAGGTCAAATTAGGAGAAACTGTATTCAAAGATAGAATTGTTAGGCACATAGAGGAACAAAGCCTGTTGAGGGAAAATCAGCATGACCTCTGCAAAGGGAAGTCCTGCCTCACCAACCTTTTGGAGTTCTTTGAGAAATTGACCAAGCATGTAGACAACGGTGACCTGGTAGATACCTGGACTTCTGAAAGGCTTTTGACAAGGTACCTCACCAAAGACTCCTGAGTAAACATAGCAGCCATGGGATAAATGGACCGGTCCTCTTATCGATTAAAAAGTGGTTAAATGACAGGAAGCAAAGAGTAGGAATCAATGGACTGTTCTCACAGTGGAGGGAACTAAGTAATGGGGGTCCCACAAGGATTGGTGTTAGGGCTGTTACTATTTAATTGATTCATCAATGATCTGGGGGTGACTAGTGTAGTGGCCAAGTTTGCAGATGACACCAAATTATTCAGGATGGTGAAAACTAAGGCTGACTGTGAAGATCTCCAAGAGGACATCTACAAACTGGGCGACAATGTGGCAAATGAAGCTCAGTGTTGGTAAGCGTAAGGCGATGCACATTGGGACTAAAAATCCCAACTTCAAGTATAGGTTAATGGGGTGTGAACTTGCTGAGACTGAGAGGGAAAATGATCTTGGGGTCATAGTGGGTAGTACAATGAAAGTGTCAACCCAGTGTGCTGCAGTGTTGAAAAAGGCAAACTTTGTTTTAGGGATTATTAGGACAAGGATTAAGAATAAAACGGCCAATATTGTAATCCTCCTGTATAGATCTACGGTACAGCCTCATTTGGAATACTGTGTACAGTTCTGGTCACCATATCTCAAAAAAGACATTGCCAAGCTTGAGTGTACAGTTCGGAGGGGCAACCAAGATGATTAGGGGGTTGGAGGACCTTCCCTATGATGAGAGTCTGAAGAGTCTGGGACTTTTCAGTTTAGAAAAAAGACAACTAAGGGTGGACATGATAGAGGTTTATAAAATTATGCAGAAGATGAGGCAGAGTTGACAAAGAGAACTTTTTTCTCCCACATCTAATGAAGCTGATGGGCAGTAGGTTCCGGACAGACAAAAAGAAATACTACATTACACAGAGAGTGATTAAAATGTGGAATTCACTGCCAGAGGACGTAGTGATGGCCACAGGAATAAACAGTTTAAAAAGGGGATTAGATAGATTGATGGAAGATAAATCTGAGAGGAACCTCCAAATTCAGAGGCACTAAGCCTCTGAATCCCAGAGCCAGAAGGCAACATCAAGGGAAGGCCTCGGACTCTATGCCCTGTTGTTAGCTGTCCAGAGGAACTGGTTGGCCACTGTGTGAGACAGGATGCTGGACTTGATGGCTTACTGGTCTGATCCAGCAGGGCTCTTCTTACGTTCTTATGAAATAAGTGTATTTATTTATATATTTGTACACCACCTTTCTCTTTGCCTTAAGGTGGCTTCTAGTTTCTTCTCATACTCAACACAAACTATGCTATAAACTAGCTGCTGATCCCTGATGTAGATTTATGCATAAGTTACACATCTATATAGATTTTTAAATGACAAATGTTCTTTCTGGAGCTAGCAATTCAAATCTTAAAAACTGTGCAAGAATGTGGAAGGAAGCCAACTGAATATCTCACTGAAAGCAACGAAATGTAGAGGGAAGGTATCTATATTCTGGTGTATGTTTTAATCCTTCTTCGGTCAGTTTCTACCTGTGGTTCTTTATCCAGCAAGCCTGCTTATTTGCATATTTCTCATACTCTAAATAAAGTACACACACACACACACCCAAAAAACTTAACATTTCTTCATCCAGGGACTTTTTTTCAAAACAATCCAAATTCCAAAACACATTCTTCATCCAGGAACTTTTTTTCAAAACAATCCAAATTCCAAAACACATCTTTAAAACCTATCATCTAGCTCTTACACAAGTGATAAGTCTTACTGTATTTTCCGCACATAAGTTGTCAAAAAGTTTCCTCTGCCTCCACATCCTTTACCTTTCTAAGGACGATCTAACTATAATGGAGACAACAAAAAAAGAGAAAACAAACTAGTAGGACACAGATCACCTACCGCTGGTGCAAAAGTCATTATATTACAAGATGCTTGGTTAGAGAAGATTAAAATATACTGAGAAAATAACAGCTCACACAGAGAAAGAAACTCCCTTATTCTGATATTACCTCACCAATTTCCTAGCAGCTTCACTACATTCAATGGTTTTACCATGGTTAACAATGAATATTGTTTGTTTCTTTGTCACATACATGGCACATTGTATTCAGGGCTCAAATAACCCTGGCAACTTCACTTACCCACAGACTATGGGGACTCTGAGGAACTGTATGCTATGAAGCTGGGTTAACTGCATCCAAGCAGTGGTGCAACTAAAAAACTCTTTCTAATACATTGTCTTATACTCAGACCAGGTCTGAATCAGGTAACAAAGTAGTTGTCTACTACAACTAGCAGCAGCTCTATAATGTAAAAACCAGTGGTTTCCCACAGACTATGGGGACTCTGAGGAACTGACCAGGTCTGAAGCAGGTAACAAAGTAGTTGTCTACTACAACAGGCAGCAGCTCTCTAATGTAAAAACCAGTGGTTTCCCCCCCAATCCCTTTAACTGAAGATAGCAGGTATTAAACATAGGGCCTTCTGCATGCCAGGCACATGTTCTACCACTGAGCAATAGACCTGTCTCACATTATAGTGCCAGAAACAAGAAAACCATAGCCTACCCAAAAAAAATCTTTTGAAAACCACTAAATGGAGATGGTGAGAATTGCTTTTAAAGAGCTAAATTAGTTAGAGGGAGACTTCAGACTTTAAAGATTAAATATAAAATGTTAAACTGTAGCGCTGAAAAAAGCTCACTCGTCACTAGTGATGCCAGGTCCTCTATCCAACAGAAAAAAGAGTCCAGTAGCACCTTAAAGGCTAACAAAATATGTGGCAGGGAATGAGCTTTCATGTGTCACTGCTCACTTCTTCAGATACCATCTTGCTCTATCCAACAGTAACACTGACTCAGCTATATGCCACACAGTAGGCACAATACAAGAACTAGAGCAAGTTAATATATTACTTTTACCAGCTACTAAATATTTTTAATATTTCTATATGAGAAACAGTTTCATAATGCCAACCAGCTAAGTACAGCTGCAATCCTTTGTACTAAAAAGAAAACACCAGAGAAATGGGAAGCTTCCTTTTACTATTTCCAATAGGTCTGCACATCTGGCAGGTTTTAATCTACTATTGGATCAATATAGGCATGTTTTATCTGACTAAGGAATAATGTGCAAATGTATTTCAGTACATTTACATATGCTTTTATATGAACTACAGCGTGGAATTTTTCCAGCTATGGGGAAAGCAGCACCACAAATCGTTCGCTAAAAGTGCTGTGTCACAGGGATATGCCATATTATGGAGAGAACAGTTTTGCTCAACACGCAATGCCCCAAAGTGCTACAATCACAGCAAGCTTTTAACCTCTTTTCTTAACCTTTGAAAATCATTAATCAGCAGCAGCATCACAATCAACCAAAAGTTAAGCACCTCTAAGGTCATTTAAGGTCCAGAAGGCGCTATTTATTTGTTTATTGATGCAATCTTATTTATACTTGCTTAGAGATAAAGCCCATTACATTCAGCAAAGCAAACTTCCAAAATGGTAAAAAAAACACAACCTGTGATCTTTGCCTATACTAACATCAATAGAATTTAAGGTACTAAACCTAGATACATCGTGCCTAATAATAATTTTATTTATGCAGCTTCTCCTATTTCCTAACTTGGACTTCTTCTTTACACTAAAAAGCAATTCACTGGGAGGGGGAGATTTAACAAAGTCGGTTTTTAAGGAGCAACCCAGGGTTGCGGAGAAAGAGCCTGTGGGAAGACGTCTCGAGGATTTCGCTATTCTGCGACGAGGGAAGGAGCCAATGGCGCAATACAGGGTGATTCTCTGCTCGCCCAGCCCCTCCCCTGTCCCGGCCCCCTCATCTCACCCTCACACTTCTGTTCCACGAACTCCACGATGGGGATGGACCAGGCGGGACTGCGGAGGAAGCCGGCGATGCTGTCTACCACCCACTCCACTTCTGCCTCCGCCTCCCCCTCGGCCGCCATCTCATCTCTCCTCCCTTTCCTTCTTTTCCTCACAAAACACGCTCGAAGCGTCGTTCGCCACGCGAAAGGGAGGGGGCGCAAAATGAAAAAATCCGGTGACGGTTGCAGGGGGGGGGTTTCACCTTCCGTCACTATGGTAACGTCGTCACAGAGGTGAAAGGGAGGGATCCACGCTGTGCAGCCACGCACGCGCACCACTGAAGGAGCGTAACTGCGGCCGCTGCTTTTCTGATCGTATAATCCAATCACGTGCTTCTTCCCGCCCTGCTTTTTTTTGTTTTGTTGTTGTTGTTGCAAGGAAAGGAGCGTGCGCCGTTGCGCGCTCCTGTTGAGCAAGGGGGGGAGAGAGGGTGAAAATGTGCCGGCTGACAAAGAGAGACACCATTAGCCGCCACTCTGTGGCTCAGGAGGATGCAGCTTCTGAGAGGAAAGGTGGTTGGCCGACGGCGGTCCAGAACAACCGGTGTTGGCGGTCTTCCTGCTTAGTTTGAAGGAGGGTCTCCAGGGTAGCTGTTATTGGCTTTTTCGGTTCCTCCCGCCGCCGCCGCCGCCGAATATAGCGTCTTTCTCGTCTCCTTTAGTTTCCCCTTTTTCTCCAGTGGGTTGTTTGTTTGGATGCTATTTGCGTTAATAGCCACAATGGAACCATCCATGTTAACAAGGTTTATCGATTGGATAAGGATGAACTCGGGAATTGCTGGCAGTATTCATACAGCTGCAGACGTTATTTTCAGTGGTCATTCATCGCGGTCTGGGTGTGGGAGATTTATCACGTGTCATTTCCACTATTAAAGGAGAAGTTATCAGAGGGTTACCCCAAAAAAACATCCTCAAGATAAAAATTAGATTTGCCTCACTGGAAGAGTAGTCATGCTCATGTAATGTTAGAGGAGATCCCAACTGAGACCAAGATATTTTTGTGTTATATTTGCTTTTCAACAACAAAAAAGCCTTCCAATTTAAAATACAGATATAAATAAAAATAGGACAAGTGTGTGAAACTGCTTTCAGGGAATATTACTGAATAATGCAGGGCCGTAGCCAGTGGTGGGTCACATGGGGCGGTGCCCGCTTTCATATCTGTAGTGTTCCCCCTTGATCTTCCTCTCCCTGGTGTGGGCGTGGCCCCTCAGTTTCCTGCACCTCCTTAGGATCAACCTGCTAGTCGCACAGCTCTGGAATGGCAGCTTTAAAACGCACAAAATAGCAACTCCAAGCTCTCAAGCCCCCCGCCCCCGTTCCACCAGGGCTTCTGTTCTGGGTAGTGGCAGCAGCTGCCATGGCTGCTGCAATCCTCAGCTGCTTCTTTTGCATTTGCAAATCCTTTTCTCCCCCCTCCCCGATCCCAGTTCTCTGATGGTGGTGGCAGCAGCTGCAGGAACTGAGAAAGGAGGAGGGGCAAGGTGAAGGCAGCATGTGGAGGGTGTTCTTCACAGCCACTTCCAACAGCGTGAGGAGCCTGAGTGAGATCTGCGGAGGGTTTTGGAAAGTCAGCCCTGGGGTGCTCTGTTGGTGCAAAGGTTTACTTGCAAACAGGTGGAAGGGGGCAGGGTTTGAGGGGAAAGCACCAATGTGTGCATCTTGCAAAAAAATTTCCATGGGGGCTAATGAGCCAAATTTTAAAAAGAATAAGAAAACGGGAGGATCTGGTTTTGAGTGGGGAGGGGAAGGAGTTTGAGAGTGAGGGGGCAGAAAAGAGGGAGGGTGTCCAAGGCCGTCCATGCCTGGCTGCCTACTTCCTCTGCCATGAGACCCGCTAACTGAATTATAGTTATAGGACTCTAGATGCCCCCCCTACGGAAATATTCCTAGATACAGGGCTGCTGAAATATGGTGCTGATTGTCCAGATGCATATTTTGGAAAGGTGAGCCAGAACAGCTGACCAGCTAATGATCTTCCTCCCCACCCTGAAGAAATGCATAATTTTAACAATGGGACTCCCAAGAAAACATTACCTCACCTTGGACTAATTCCATCACATGCCCAGACTCACTTGCCTCTCACCTGTTTATCCTAATTAGCAAAACTTAATCCTGTTCACCAAAACCTGGTAGTTTTCCTGTCTGATACTCAAAGGGACATCAAGAAACATTAGCAACTATGGTTCACCCCCAGTGATGTCATCAAGGTTTCCCAAGATCATTGTCAATCTCTGGAAAAGCCATCAAGTCATTGTTTTGGGGGCAAACACATCAGACCTCCCCAGGGAAAATTTTTCCTAATACTGTAGCTCACTACTCCATAGCACTGTGTGTGTTCTTGGTGCTATACGCACACAGCCTCTTCATGAAATGCTGGCCATTTTGCTGCACTTCAAGGATCTTGTTCTTCTAGATTAGTAAATATCATCTCTCCAAAATCTCTGTCCCCACTCATCCCTAATTTCTTCTTAGCCCGTTTGTGTGTTTGTAAGCATGTTACAGGGAGGGAAATCTAGAGTGGAGTGCCGCAGGGCTCGGTCCTAGGCCCGGTGTTGTTCAATGTTTTTATAAATGACCTGGAGGAAGAAATAAAGGGGATGCTTATCAAATTTGCAGATGACACAAAGTTAGGTGGGATTTCTAATTCTGAAGAAGACAGAGTCAGGATTCAAAATGATCTAGATAGGCTGGAACAGTGGGCTGAGACAAATAAAGAATTAGGTATGTTTAGCCTGGGAAAGAGAAGGCTTAGAGGGGACATGATTGCAGTCTTCAAGTATTTGAAGGGCTGTCATGTAGAAGATGGAGCAGATCTATTCTCTCTTGCTTGGGATTGCAAGACTAGTCTAATGGGTGGAAATTACAAGGGAGTCGTTACCGGCTAAATATCAGGAGAAACTTCCTAACTGTAAGAATGGTTGAGCAGTGGAACAGTCTGCCTCGGGAGGTGGTGGATGCTCCTTCGCTGGACATTTTCAAGCGGAGGCTGGACGACCATCTTTCAGGTATGTTGTAGGTATGTAGGGCTATCTTTCAGCTATGCTCTTGCAGAATGCAGGGGGTTGGACTAGATGACCTGCAAGGTCCCTTGCAACTCTAACATTCTATGATTCTATGTTCTGTTTGTATGTTTATGCCCTTTTATTATTTTTCAATAAAACAACTTCCAGTTGAACATCTGACTGGTTTGTTTTGGGAGTTCTTTAAGGGAATATCCTGGTATACATTGGTGGAGATCCCACTCACCCCCTCTTTTACTTATCTCTATTGAGCTAAATTCCCCCAATTAATTAGGAGTTTGCCAATTTGGGTAACACAGGGCATCAAGAAAACAATTGGATAGTGAGATTAGCTCTGCTGGATCAGATCAGTAGTCCATCTAGTCCAGCATCCTGCCTTACACAGTGGCCAGCCAGTTCCTCTGGATGGCCAACAACAGAGCATAGAGGCTGAGGCCTTCCCCTGATGTTTCTTCCTGGCCCTGGGATTCAGAGGTTTAGTGCCTCTGAATGTGGAGGGTCCCCTCAGTCACCATGGCAAGTAACCATTGATAGACTAATTCTCCATGAATCTATCTTAATCCCCTTTTAAAACTGTTTATTCCAGTGGCCGGTCCTGAACCTACTGCCCATCAGCTTCACTGGATGCCCTCAAGTTCTAGTATTTTGGGAGAGGGAGAAAAAGTTCTTTGTCAACTCTCTCCACCCCATGCATAATTTTATAAATCTCTATCATGTCTGCCCTTAGTCGTCTCTTTTCTAACCTGAAAAGTCCCATAATCTTCAGCCTTTCCTAATAGGGAAGGTGCTGTAACCCTCTCATCATCTTGGGTCCCTCCTCTGTACTTTTTCCAGTTCTGCAATTTTTTTTTTGAGATATGGTGACCAGAACTGTACACAGTATTCCAAAGGAGCTGTTGCCATGCAACCACTTTAGATGGCATTATTAAAGACTCTTTAATATGACTGCCTTGCTGGACTGTGAAAAGTGTGTGCCAGGACAATGGACAGAGCTGTGTTCCCAAGAGAAGTGCCCTATGCTGGACTATGGAATGTACACTGTGGTGAAGGGGAGCCTTGTGCCTAAGCAGCATGCCAAGCCAGATGTGGACCCAGGACTACAGAAGCCTTCTGCCACTGAACTCCTGCATCCACCCCAGGCACCAGGATGCAGATCAGCAGCCCTGACCTCCATGCATGCAGAGGCAGCAGCAGATCAGAAAAGAAGCCATGCTCTGGTAAAGGACAGATGTTCCTGAACAGAAGCCATGAGGGAATCACTTCTGTGTCACACAGCCCCCCCCCCCCTTGTGTGTTAACTTCACCTGGAAAATAACACATTCCTCTCCCACCTGAGCTGGCCTAAACAAAAGACTGTGCCCAGCTACAGTAATAGCAGCGATCCAGCCTCCTGTCACCCACCTAGATAACACCACTGCCAAGTATCTGATCGTTAATATGAAGCACTGGCCCTGCAATGTGATTAGTTCTTTTTTTTATCTCCTTTATCTTGCCCCCTTCCCCCAGAGGTATCACTCCCTGCTGACCATTAATTTTCAATTGCCCAGCTATTAATCCCTTTATGTCCCATCCAGAGTTTAAGTTTTTTTTCTAGTACTTCCTGTGGATTTGGTGACCACATGAGCCTTTGCCTCAGGTCACATTTTAGGCATTCTCACAGAGTGCGCTCTCTTGTCTCTGGCCTTTTGCTTCTTCCTTTCCTAACCCCACCCTACCTTGTTGGTTCCATTCTTGGCCAGTTTGGAATCAGTCCACGTGTGTTGCTGATCAAGTCACAATCCCTTCCCCCTTGTTGTGTTTTTATTTTTCATTGCATGATCCACTCATCTCGTTGGACAGTTAAAGTATCACCCACCAACGATATTCCTGCTCATGCAAACATCACTATCCTTTCAACTCTATATTCCTAGCTCTGTATTGTGTGAGTGAATGTTTGATTATTATTTGTATGCTTGAAGAACATTTAGTAAAGAAATCATTATTTTAGCAACAGTCTCTGCGTCTATTCACGGGCTCTGGGAATTCTGACTCCCATATACACAGGTTATGATCCCATATTTTATGCCTATTGCCATTTAATATTCATAATCCCCCAAGCTTATTAACAAAATAAGGCAATTTGGCTAAGAGCCCACACCATAGATCTATACAGGGGCATTACAATATTCACTGTTTTATTCTCAATCCCTTTCCTAACTATACCTAACAGAGTTTGCCTTTTTCAACACTGCAGCACACTAGGTTGACACTTTCATTGTGCAATCCA